CCAGGCCACATTTATGTGATGTCATTCCATCCGACTTGAAATTGGCAGGAAGGAGAAAAACCTGCAGCTGACTTGGCATCCTCCACAAGGTCAGCAAAATGTATTTTTTCCAACTGATTATGTACTTCACTATCTTCACTGCAATCATTTTCGGAGTTTGGAGCATGTTTGACTCAAGATAATACGGCTCAAGAGCAGTCATAACGATAGTTAAAAGGCTTTTCAGAAGCCATTTGGACAAAATCTCTTGGACAGAATGACATCACAAATATGCAGCCTGGCTGCTGAGTACTGTTCAAAATGGCGGCAACAATGCCAAATTTTGGGCTTCTTTGGAGACAGATGTCATAACAAAAACCTGCACTTTAGAGGCTGAAACTTTGCTGAGTGGCTAAACTTAGAGCCAGGTTTTATTGACGTTGGCAAAAATATACATTTTTTGGAGTGACCTTCTCTTTTAATGTGACCAGTGGTGGATAAGTCAGTATGGGGGCTGGGAACAACCTCTGCAACACTGACCTCTAGACATTATCTTCTTTTGACAACCTTTCAAGGATCTGCTGGCCACTGGTGATAAAATTTCCAACTTACCAGTTCTCCTGCCTCTTTTGCATCATCTTCATCTTTGGCTTGTCCATTTTCTGTGACAACCTCATCATCTGGCGGCTCTTGCTTTATTTCCACACTGTCAAGCATTAGAGGAAGATTAAATGTAAACATAATTTTGAAAGCACTCAACACCCCTCCCCAGCCACTGTCTATTCCTCCTTCATGGGTTCTCCTGTGCAGTGTTTTTGATTTTGAGTTAAATAAATGTTTGATTTTCAGCACTCTGTGTTAAAAATGACGCTCCTCTAAGTAAAATCAAGAAGAGAAGCAATGCTTTATCAGTTCTTTTAACTCCCATAGATGGTAGATCAGGTGTTTGTAGTAAACTTCTTTTCAATTAACATTAGTTGGGGCTCTGTACCCATCAGAGTTCTATGTCAAAGTTTAACAAAACTTAACACTTCATCAAATTTAATTAACACTATTAAAACCAAATCAAAATTACAATATTCTGATTAAACTCCACTGTGTCTTATCTCCACTGGGAAGCATCTCTCTCCTCCACAGAGACTCCCTAAGAAAGGGGAAGTGAATTGGGGATGGAAAGGCAAGTGGGCCTGCACTTATTTTATTCCCTCTCCCCAACCTCCAAACTACCAGCCTACATGGTAAAGGCAGCAGGAAAGAGGCCTCTGCAGAGAAGATAGGGGCAGCACAGTAATGTTGCTTACCAAAGAGACCTTGTTGGCAAAATGGGATTACGCTGTATGAAAGAGTGCCTCCTTCTTTAGGCACTAAGCAACAATGGGAACAATCTGTTTAACCACTGCTTGTTATGAAAGAATGAAAGATGTGAATGCAGCCATAACACTACTGGAAAAATGACCTGAAAAAATTCCAGGCTCTGAACAGGATTCGAACCCATGACCTATGCGTTACCGGTGCGATGCTCTACCAACTGAGCTGTCAAAGCCACATGAGAGCAGTCGTGTGTGGGTTCGGCTGTAATTGCTACTGTTGGACATCTATTACCATGGAATTCATATACTTGAGACCAGTATTACGTCCACTGAACATATAGGGCCGAACCCACACACGATGCCAAACTTTTGGCATCATTGCCTTAGCCAAAATATAGATATCAACAAGATAAAACTGCAGTATAGTACTATATGATATGCCTGTATAACAGTACAAGTGAGTACCTAATAGTAATATGTTAATACTACATTAAATAACATTAATTAGTATCACCTAACTAGTGGACTAATGCAAATCCTGCATTTTGATTGGCTACGCTAGTAGAGGACTATTAGTAATAGTCCTTGAGTAGCGAAATTGGCGCAATCGAGC